AGGCACTTAGGGTCTTGTAGTGCGCCTCGAAGGCCTCTAGCGTGCCGTTGGAATCCGCGTACCATTTGCGCGCGTAAAACCACCTATGAGAGCGATTGAACCCGGTACCTCAAACCGTACAGTAAGTTACAAGGTACGTACTTTGCGCCCTTCAGTGTCGGGGGGGGGAGGCCACTGCGTCGTCTTGCGAGGGGCACGCGTTTTTTTGGACGCCGTGACCTCCGAGGGCTTGTCAGCACGCTCGTTCGAGGGGGCAGTACCTGTGGAGGTCACGTCTTGGGGCGGGGACGCAGAAATGTCCACACCACCCTCCGCGGGGATATCGGGATCTGTGGGCGTAGGCGGCGAGGGAATGACGTCGGCGGCCCCCGAGACCGTGGCGAGTGTTGTAAGAGACGCAAGGGGCGACAGTGCAGGGGGGGCCTGCGTGGCCTGAGCCGACGTGGCCATAGATGGTGGGGCCGACGGGCCGGACTGGGAGGCAGATGTGGAGGTGGGGGATGTACTAGTCGGAGGTAGTACAGACCGTGGAGAGGCGACAAGACTGGGGGAGCGTTGAACAAGCTGCAAGTACGACCTGTGGGCGAAATGCAAACTGATCATTTTTCAGCCATGGCGGACATATAATACTACACACGTGGATGGGGCGATCTAGTGGTACGAACACATGTCAGCAAAGCGGCGAGCGTGCGAGCATTGAACGTATTACCACAGCCAGCAGGCTAGGAGCTGCTCGCTCCTTGCCCTTGAACGATTTGGATGCAGCAGGAGGGGGTTCAACTGATTGAGGGGGAGCTATGCATGATGGTGAGGTGTCAAGGGACGTCAGATGGTTTGAGTACATACCAATGTCTTGTGGGACACCCGCGTCGGTGCGTGCTTGCTTGCGGGGTCCAACGACGATGATGTCATCACCTGAGGGCCGCTTGGCCGGAGTAGCCTTCTCCGATGGCCTTGTCGTACGAACGTCGCCACGACGCACCGACTCCGACTCAGATTCTTCCAAGTCAGATTGACTTGGAATCGTGTGCAGGGCCTGGTTGAGATCAATGGGCTGCGAGCTTCCATTATCCCACTTGCGGGTGACGGTCTCGTAGTACGAGTAGTACATAAAACTGTCACCTTTGGCGTTGTTGTGGCAGAGCTGGAAGAGGGGAAACTTCTTGCGGAGGGCGGTGTAAAACAATTCCCGTAACCAGACATCAGTGTCGCCCCATTTCCTAGGCAGCGGGTACTGAGCTCCTCGTGCGAGGTTGATGAGAGTTCGGCAGAACTTGCGGGCATCGTTGATGTAGTCTCCGTCGGCAGGAGTGCCGTCGGGGTACTCGACGTAGGGAGCTGTATGATTGACCCCTTGCGCCGACATTTTCTTGCCGCGCACCACTGTCTCCCCGATGCGCGTCGTTTTTTTGTTGTCGCGCTTCCATTTATTCCACTGGCGTTCTGTGAAGAATTTGACCTGCGTGCACCTCGCGTGCGGAAATGTCAGCGATGTTTGGGTAGTCGAGCCATGTAATGTACATACGTTAGGAAAATCATCTTGTTTGCGAACACAGTCGTAGCCCAGCGGCTCTCCAGGCTTGAGAGAGTGTGTCGCCTTCACGGATTCAAACACGAGTCGTTTGAGGGTCGCTATGAGGGCTGAGGAGGGCGTGCGGCGCAGATGTGTTGAGGGCGTACCTCGGCTGTCATCGCCATCTTCCGGGGCGGCCTTGGAGGTCTTGTCTCTCCTGCACGGACACTGAGGTGATACAGTAATGATTAATTGCAAAGGGTACTTACTTGATTTCTTCAACCTGGACGCGCAGTTCGACAAATTGCCGACTGGGAGTATGCATGGTGAGTGGGCGTGTTGAGAAAGATGAGTGCCGAGAGTACCGCAGATCCATGAGGTCTTGTTCCGCGCGTTGGAGGCGCAGACTAGTTTCTATAGATGCAATAGAAGAGTGTGTCGAGGGGGGGACGGAAGAGGAAAGCGAGGAATTCTGAGGAGAGGTGAATATATGCGCCCCATTCATGTCCAAAAAACGTACAAAATGGGCTGCGGAGTTGATGTACGCAGAATGATGGTCCATGGCGGTGGGGAAACTGTGATGCTGGTGTGAGGTAGCGTTTGCACGGGGCCCCGACGAAAATTCGAGGCTTTGACCGTAGGGCTGGTACCTGTCTGGGCGAAGTGAGGAAGCTGGAAGAGCAAATGATGAGCTGTATGGAGAGAAATGCGAGACTGAGCGAGAACGAGAGGGATTGGTGTCCTCCCGGGGTGTTCTAGGGTGTTGTGACTGAGAGCGTGAACGAGAAAGAGAAGGTGACAGAGCGATGGGACCAGGTAGGGACAGAGATTCTATAGGGGAAAAGTCATATTGCAACAATTGTGAGGGTGGGGGTGGGGTGGGGCTATGCGAATGTTCAGACATTTTTGAGACAGAGGGCTGTAGGGAAAATGGGAGGAAGGAATGACAGAGGTTGAGCCCAACGTCGAGGAGCGCATGTAGGCGCCCATGCCCATATCAGGCAGCAAGCACGCTTGCGCGCGCAAAGAGGATTTGCGTCCTCTTCGGTGCGATTTGCGGGATCTGCGTGTTCTCTTCTCTTGCTTCCTCTTCCTCTGCCTTCTTGCTGCCCCCTTTCGCTTCCTTGCATGCCATGGACCCCATTCATAGGAAAATGGGAAAGAACAAGAAATCCTCTGTTCTGCCGGAAAAACCCTGCCTACGCGACACCCTGGACGCCCGAACCCTGCAAGCGCGTCTAGGTTAAGGTGCACGACACATTCATTGCTCGCCATTGTCATCGTCCTCGTCCTCGTCCGACATCCTCTCCTCACGACCAATGGATGACATATCAAAGCCTAGCCTTTCCACCACGTAAAAACGATTCGAATAGAGTTCGGCGGCACGAGGGTCCTCAGCCTCTTCCCGCCGTGGCGCCAAGGGCAACATTGCAACGACCGAGACAATGTCCTTCACCGTGATCACCTCCCGCGACCGATCTCCTGCATAACGGCATGCGATGAGGGCTCCATACGTGTCGCGCAAAATTGCTGGGTCCGGGGGGGTAAAGATTGATACCATTGCCAAAGTCATGTCGACGTCGTCTGTTCCCCCATCCTCGCGCATCTTCTTTAGGCCAAAAAAGTACTGAATTTCTGCAAACCGATTGTCTGCAAGCTAAAAAGAGTGTTGCAGCTACCAAGTCAATGTAGAGCCTTGAACATATGCAATCGCACCTTCACCATGCGTGCCCGATGAACTGGGCGGCCTCGACGCTCACCCTCGCATTCCTTCCAGGCCGTGCGGGCGTATTGACCATTCGGCAGGCGCAATCGGCCCCACTTTGTTACACGGGGTGTCCATTCGGCAGGGACCTGGACTGTGTGAGATCTCAGAAAAGCGTGCAGGGCGAGAGAGTCTGATTCGGAAACCAGCTTCGGGGTGCGTGCTGTTGGATGCATGAGGACGTATTGGTCGCCCAGATCCCTCGCCCCTGCCGGAAGCCGTTCCTGGGTCTCCAGGGCCTCTGGGAACATGGCCACGAGAGCGCTGACCTGAGCGCGCCGCAGGCCACGGAGGGAAAGATTTTCGTAAGGTTTTGAATGAGACCCGATTTCGGCGGTCAGGTTGCCAATCGCGTTCTCCAGGGGCCACTGTGAGTGCAGCCAGGCCGGGCCGACACGAACGTTCTCGGGCATGAGATGTGTGAGCGCATGCAAAGCCTGGCGGCAGAAGTGGAGCCGATCCACTCGGCGCGCATAGTAGTACTCTTCGAATTCTTCTACGTATTCCACCAGGAGAATGTGCGCTGGCCCCCGGAGCTCCACAGGAGTTTCGAGGAGAAGGGCGACTCGCGCGCCTGACACCAGTTTGCAGAAGTGTGCGTGATACTTGGGTTTCTGTATAGACCATAGCAAGCCAGGTAGATATCCGTAGACGTAGTACATGTATTCCCAGGCCTTGTACCCACTTGAAATTTTCTCTGCCGGGTTGCGAGGTGGCCGATCAAAAGACCCAGGCAGATAGAGAGACGCCTCGGCGACAAGCTTGCCATGCGCCTGCCAGACATCGTCGTCGCGCAAGCATGCCCAGTCCCAGTCATCCAAGGGATCCGTTCGCGTGTCGTGCCTCAAGGTGCCGCGTAGTAGCCCAAGAACCAGTTCAGTCACATTCAGTGTCAGCAAGTGCATTATGTCGGCAGGAAAAGTCCCAGGGAAGCCACAGTTGACAGGAAGCCCCATGAAGATAGAAGGTTTTGCGATGCCAGTTTGGAGACGTTTTTTGACATATTGACCATGCGTTTTACACGCGAGAACCTCTGCCAAGTGTCGTTCGTAGCGTTCAGAATTAGTCTCGTCAGATCCAGGGGGTTCACGAAGGGAGTAATCCGGGTGATTGCTGCCGCTGACGCGCGCGTAGTCGGGGTCCGATGGCTTCAGCATGGCTGGATAATAGTGCCCTCCACCGCCAGGTTTCCGACGTCCCTTGAGGGGACAGAAGAGTCGACAGCCGTGCGCCCCAGAGTGCCCGACCAGTCCGTTCATGTATGCCATAGCCGGTGTGTCGCCTGTAGCAAAGAGTATGACCGGCCGCGAGTGCACCAGCTTCTGCCGAAAGGAATCCCAGATTTTCAGAGGAGCGTTCTGAAGCGCGGCAACATGGTAAAGCCCAGGGAAGAGAAACGAGTCTAGATTTTTGGGCTTGTTGGGTCCTGGGATGAAAGCGCCCGGCAAGACGTATCGCTTCTTGTACCGAACGTCGGGAGCCAGATCAAACAAAATCCAGATATAAATCCAACAGTCGGACTGCTTAGATTCGTACAGCTGAGCGCCGTCCAGTGAGAGCATCAGAACGAGATCGTCTTCGCGGATGGTGCCGTCCTCGACAAGGTGCAGATACTGCTCTGCAAAGAACACATCCTCAGCAACCTCAACCATCTTCTGCGCATTCGCCATCTCGACAAGGCGCTCCATGAGTGTCTCGCGGTGATGCATTCGCTTCGCACAATGACGCGATCGGTAGAGTGCCTGAACTTGCGGCCCCAAGGGATGTGTCTGGAAAGTACGTCGCGCGACCCGTTTTTTGCCGCGCATTTCGTACCGCGAGGCGCCACAAGTTTCGTACGGACAACGATCGAGCGCGGCAAAAGGACCGGTGTATGCGATGCAGGTTTCTGGGCACATATCAGTGATAATGGGGACAACGCCGCTTAGTTCCTCCACAACTTTCTGCATCGCCTCGTAAGTAGGCAGAATGAGCCCCTCGTTGTACCGCATGACAGCGTGTCTGTTGGCCCGGTACGCCTCCTCCGAATGGCCATTCGCGATGAATTGATCCAGAGACAGGAGGAGCTCACGATGCTCAGGCGCCAACAGATCAGGAAGGTCGCCATCTTGCTGTGGGTGATGCATGCGCTGTATAACCTTGGGATCCAGCCCCGAGTCTTCCAATGTCGCGCCTTTGAGAGCTTTGATAAACGCAATCGAATTTTGCAATTCTTCCAATGTCGGCTCAGGCAGAGATCCCGTCGGGTCGTGACTGCCATACTCGGGTTCCTCCTCGCTCTCCGGGGGAGGCTGGGCGTGTGGGGAGGACTCACGGCGGAAAATGTCAGCTGAACGCGACCGTGGTCGCTCTGGCTCAGCATCCTGGAATGGAAAGGGATCGTCCTCGACTGGCGAGATCTACATCATATCAGCCACAGCGCATGCCAACTCGTGGACCATGAACAAGCCCCTTCCTATCGAGAATCGCACGCTCTCGATGCAACAGATGCATACGCGCAATCAGCTTGCTAAGTGATAATTGAGAGCTCTCCGACGATTATCGAGGCGCTCATGCACTGAGCTCCTCCGGTGCGTGTATATGCGTCGGACGAGCTCGGCGCATATACTCAACGCATCTCTGAGACTGCAGCCTAAGGAAATCAAAAACTCACCTCGCGGGATGCCTCGCGGTCTTCACGTGGGTCGTTTTGAGGCAAGGCAATGATGCTGCCACAGACGACGGGCC